GCAAGGGTTCCAGAATCAGAAGATGTTAGTGCTGAAGGACAATGCAGGAGACATGCCTGCTTCATTTTACATAGAAGGAAACCAAGGACCAGTTTAGAGACCATGACCAGTTTTGTGATAAAAGACCTAGGTTGGCATGCTACTCCAAATTTCAATTCGAGACTCTTTTTTCTACCACCATGCTGCCAACAGCCATTGGAAAATTTGAATGAATGACAGAATTCTGCAGCTGTTCAAAATCAAATGTGAGAAGATATATAGCAGTATGGGTAAACGTCCATGGCATACCAAGTGTTAAAGCAAGTTACCAAACAATATACTTGTATATCATCTGATTTTTGTGGAGGCAAGTATATGCAGAAGGAAAAACAGGGATAATGGCCAAAACAGTAATGGTGCGTTATCTTTGGATAGGAGAATTATAGATTTATTTTTCACTTGGAGGTTTTCCGGTAAAAAACAGAAAAATTGTTAGACAAATTCTAAAAGGGCTATAATACTTACAGACAACTTTTGTGTGCTTTACTTTCCATCTTTAAAAAAATGAATATATGTTAATTTTTTATTCAGACAAATGGAGATTTGTATCCATCTACATTTTTCTCATAATTCTGAACCTAGTTTTAGTCTGCTTGTTTCACTAAAAGCAAATACTTCCTAAGAACAAAAAAATGAATCACTAGGTAAATATTGATCTGTTGCTAAGTGAATAAGAGACATAGCATCTCATCAAAGCAGTTATCCTCCAGACATTAAAAAATTCACTTATAATGTATCTTTAAGTAAATTATCTTAAAACAGATTTTCAAATGTACTTTAATGCTGAGAAAGAAGAAAAAAAGTCCTACTCTCATAACATACTTTCAATATTCATCTTTCTTTCTCTCTCTCTTGCTCTCTCTTTTTTTTTTAGTCCACCTGTCACCCAGACTAGAGTGTAGTGGCACAATCATGGCTTACTGTAGCCTTGACCACCTGGGTTCAAATGGTTCTCCCACCTCAGACTTCCGAGTAGCTGGGATTACGGGTGCACACCACCTTGCCCAGCTCATATTTTGACTTTTGGTAGAGATGAGGTCTTACTATATTGCCTAGGCTGGTCTTGAATTCCTGGGCTCAAGCAATTCTCCCACCTCAGCCTCCCATAGTGTTGAGATTACAGGCATGAGCCACCATACCCATCCATATTGTTCACCTTTCATCAACTTTTTTCTATACCAGAACATCAAAAAGGCATGTCCTGATTCCACACATAAGTCATAATAACCAGCTGCTTGCAGCAGGATTACTGAGTAGTATCAACAGCTTGTCATTAATCAGTGAACTGAAATTTCCAGCCTAGGCGAGTGCTTGTGAAGGTTGCAGACAGGCTTCCTCGTAGTAAAAAAATCTTCAAAGTACCAGGAGAAGCACTTTTACCCATAATAGACTTGTTTCCAGCCCTCAACTTCAAATACAGGAGAGGCTGTTTCAGACATGTGACTCAGAGAAAGAACATCAGAGGACGGTGGCTTCCGATAGAATGACAGAAATAGAAAGAGAGTCACATGGGAATCGAAGGCCACCCGGGGGCCAGTCCTGCTAATGACTCTCATCATGGGCTGTCCTCTTACTGCTCTCTGCCTCAATTCTCTCATCTGCACCCCCAAGAAAAGTCCCTATCCACTTCCCCATGGATAAGAAGGGAACAAACTTGGAGTCACACTTCAGTTTGGGTTCAGTTTCCTCCTCTGCTACTCCCAGTTCCCTCGTCCTTAAGATGAGAGAAGAGGATCAAAAGGCATAATGTCTCTGAGAGATACTCAACATATCTTAAATGCAGTAGTAACACAGACAAAAGAAAGGTAAAGTGAAAACATTTTGGTGATATGCTACGTGAACACAGGATACTGTGATTCCTAAAAGTAGGATCTAAGTCAGAAATAAGAGGTTTGTTTAAAAGATGGAGGGAATAAAGTGAATTCTTTTTTTTTTTTTTGAGTTGGAGTCTCACCCTGTTGCCCAGACTGGAGAGCAGTGGCCGCTCCCGGCCACCGCAGCCTCGACCTGCTGGGCTCCGGCGATCCTTCCACCTCAGCCTTCCAAGTAGCCGGAATTACAGACGCGCGCTACCACGCCCGGCTAATTTTTGATTTATTGTAGAGATGAGGTCTCGCTGCCCAGGCGGGTCTCGAACCCGCGGGCTCAGGCAATCCACTCACCCAGCCTCCCAAAGGCGCGGGATTACAGGCTGAGCCACCGAGCCTGGCTGTATAAAGTGAATTCTTTTACCCTTTAATCATTTGTCATGTTCAAGTCAGAGTGCCCGAGTATTTGGAATTTAGTTGCTTAAGTAGTGTTCCAACATGGAACCCAGGGGTCTGACCATCAAAGGGACAAATTTTGGAAGGAAGTAGGCTTTGGGGAGTCTGTCCCTTCACATCCACCTTCAAACTATAGCGAATTTCTAAACAAGCATCAGGAGTACCTTTAACCTAGGCTGACCTCCAACCCTAGTTCAGGCTTCACCAGGAGAGAATGTGGTAACTGGCTGACAACCAGAGTGCTCTGTGCTGATGCTGCTGGCTCAGATTGATGCTAACTTTCTACACAAGGCCCAAGGGGATGGGACCAGGGACATACTTTCACAGCACAGCACCAGGTCAGCACCTTAAACTCATCAAGAAAGAGTGCCAGGAAGGGAAAAAAGCAAAGAGAAACTGCTGGACTTAATGTAACTTTTTTGCTATGTTGCCCAGGCTGGTCTTGAACTCCTGGGCTCAAGCAATCTGCCCACTTCAGCCTCCCAAAGTCTTGGGATTACAGGCATGAGCCACTATGCCTGGCCTGTTTTATTTTTAAAAAGAAAAAGTGGTAAAAACTGCAATATCAGCTTTCTTTTACACTTTGAACAATTAGTATGGCATCAAACCTTACATGATGGTTTTCTGGAGCCTGGACAATAGCAGCCTTTGCAAGACTTCCTTCCTCTATTACTCAGGAACCAGTACCGGGTGGAAATTTGTACTCATCTGCATATAAACTTGCAGGGTTTTAAGCACTTTGGTTTTCAAAAGTTCTCCAAAAATGAGATGACAAGGAATCGGGCCTAGCAGTCCAACCTAATCTGAAAGTGGATGCAAATGTCACTAGTCAGTTCAAATTAGTGAATTATTATTATTATTATTGTAGATTGGAAAATGTAGTTTATTTAAAAAGTAAATTAGAGAGAGAGAGAGAGAGAGATTGGAGATTCACCTCCCCAAGGTAGGAGAGGGGGCCAGAGCTAGGAAGCACGGTAACCGTCCAAATGAGTGAATTATTAAAGAAACATTCAAAACATGAGCATAAAAATGCTGAATGATTTACAAAACATACAGATAGTGTGCACATCCTTTCTAGAGCAGATTTTTAACTGCAGACACTGCATGTAAGAACACCACATCCTTGGTTTTATGCCTGGTTATGGAGACAACTGTAATGGAAAGTCCCCTCCTCAGCAAGGGCCGTTCCAATTCAATATGATGACATTTATGTTGTCCATGGCCCTCCACCACTACGAGGCAACACCTCTCTTGACTTAGGCATGGTGTCATCACTGTCACACCTACCAGAAAACTGCACACAAGCCGGGCTTGGTGGCTCAGCCTGTAATCCCGTGCATTTGGTAGGCTGAGGTGAGTGGATTGCCTGAGCCCGCGGGTTCAAGACCCGCCTGGGCAGTGAGACCTCATCTCTACAATAAATCAAAAAATCAGCCGGGCGTGGTAGTGCATGCCTGTAATTCCAGCTACTCGGAAGGCTAAGGCGGAAGGATCGCCAGAGTCCAGCAGGTCAAGGCTGTGGTGGCCGGGAGCGGCCACTGCACTCCAGTCTGGACGACAGAGTGAGACTCCAACTCAAAAAAAAAAAAAAAAAAGGAAAACTGCACACAAACACACAAAACACTCAAAGCCCATGATGATAATTCTTCACCCTTGGCTAACAGCATGTGAAAATTAGCTAGATGACTAGACAAAGCAAGAACCCAAACTCTCAGGCGTCTCTCTTGCCCATCTATCTGCTCTTAGAAGAGAATCATTTGCTCAGTGTCACCAATCACCAAAAGAGGAAGTGAGAGGTGGTATCGGGATGAAGGGAATAGCTTCTACCACTATCTATCATCTTAGCAGCTTCATTAGTCATGCACTGAGGGACACAGTTTGAGTCAGACAGTTATCTAAGCAGCTGCAGTTGGAGAAGTCACAGGTAGAACGAAGTAAGCTTGAAGAGGCACAGAGTGAAGCAGCAATGACAAGAAAGGACTGAGGAAGTCAGACCAACCAAGAGAGTATGGAACACTTCACACGCAAGGCTTGCCCTGAACTCCGAAGGAAGACACAGTAATTCAGAAGACATCAACAAGAAAAAATTTAACACTATCTTGAAAACAGTATCTGTGACCCAGAGTACAGATTCCCTTCATTTTACAACCATGGTTTCCTCTCTCAAAGCAGTGCCCACCCCTGTCGCCCCTACAATACAGATCCACGCTTCTACCAGGAAACTTGATTCACCCAAACAAAAGCACTCTCTTTGAGTGCATTATGTTAGCTAATGCGTGGTACATTTTTTAGTAAGACAGGTGGAAAGTATCCAACTAATAAGTGTGCTTTTTAACTTATTAATTAGTTTGGGTAAGGATGGTTTATCTGTCCTAAAACTGGCAATAGGGCATTTGCTAAAGGAATACAGTCCAAGTTTTACCTAAAAATGACTACTATTTTCTGCAAAGTCCTCGTCATAGATGATGACACCACACTGTGGAGGAAGGGATGTTTCCAGGTAACCAAGATCTGATTCTCTTCTACCCTCTAGGATTCAAAGACCAGACTGCTATCAGACTGTGGCTATTTTAGCACCAGTGACGCCATGTTCCATTGATGCCTTAAGGACGCAATGTGAGAAGGTTCTTCTTTGAACATCACACAAAACCAAACACATCAGCAGGTGAGCATACAGAGGGTATGTGGTCTACTCACTCTTTGGTCAGAAGGGGACAAGACTTGAGCAGAAAGCGAGAGAGCCCCGAGTCCAGGAAGTAGAGGTCAGGCGAGGCTGTGGGGCTCTTCAGGTTCAAACACCGGACGATCACGTACAGCACAGCAGCCACTGCAGCCAGCTTCACCCCGTCAAACACGGCTGGGAGCTCAGGGGTCTCCAGCATGGCATTCATCTTGATCTGGGGAGCAGAGGCACAGGTCTGGGTTTACAAGCAGTGAGGGGGTGGGTAGGGCCCACCACATTACAAAGGCACATCAGGCTAAGAGACAACACCAGTGATGGCATGCCACAATCCAAATATGTCCACAGGGTCTCCCCAGGCAGACACCACTAGTACCTTATAGCCACTAATGGACTGGTAACAACCCAAATCACAAACACAGTCCAGAGAGCTGACAAACTGAGTATTGTTTTTTCTTTTTGTAACCTCATGAGCATCTCCAAGATAAACACATTTTAAAATGCTGAGAACAGCATCCTTTTGAGAGTGGGAAAAATAAGACTAGTCAGAGAGGCAGGAGCAGGACCAGGGCAGCTCTTTGATTTCTGTTAACAGGCCATCTCAAGTCTCTCTGCAGACTTCATCTGCACCTGGTGCACCAGGTATGTGTTAAGTGTCATGTTTATAGCCTTGGACAGAAACACGGGCTGGGACTGCTGTTGTCACCAGGTGTGGCTATACTGCCTGTGGGCCCTACCTCTTTATTTTCAGCGCAGGCCGAGATAAAGCAAACATGGCCGACTCTGCTCCACAGAGGTGCCCCGATGCTGGGGTCCATTTCAGACTCAACCCAGGTCCCAGTAGTCCTGGCTCCTGAGGGTTCCAGCCAGTATAAAATAGAGCACAGCCAGTTTTGTGTGTTTATGTTTGTGTGTGTATGTGTGTTTCCTGTAGAAGCTATCTGACTATAGCATTAGTCCAAAATTGAGCTAAAAGTGAACCAAAATTGACCACTAGACCAAAATTTAAAATAGGAGTACAGAAAAAAAAAAAAAAAAATATATATATATATATATCACTTATCCCAAACTCTCTTAATAGTTCATCTTTTAGTTGGGTGTGGTGGCTCGTGCCTGTAATCCCACAACCTTGGGAGGCTGAGGTGAGAAGATTGTGTGAGCCCTGGAGTTTGAGATCAGCCTGGACAACATAGTGAGACCTCGTTTCTACAAAAAATACAAAAATTTGCTGGGCTTGTTGGCATGGGCCAGCTACTTGAGGGTTCTTGAGGAGGAAGGATCGCCTGAGCCCAGGATGTTGAGGCTGTGGTAAGCCATGATTGTGTCACTGCCCTCCAGCCTGGATGACAGAGTGAAACCCTGTCTCAAAAAACAAACAAACAAACAAATAAAAAAAATACATACATATATTTCATCTTTTGAAGTAGCTTTACCTTATAGAAAACACACACACACGTTCACACCCACTCCAAACATATAAAACCAAACATCAACAACGACAAAAGTAACAGCAACAGCAACAAATATCCAATATTTTCCTTACTGCTTAGCAGAAAAACAGAACACCCATCAGCTGTTGCCTTAAAAATCAGGGAAACCACATGTTAACAAAAAGGAGAAAAGTGGTAACTCTCACAGCCAAGGTAGCTATGGCAACAGCTTCCCTTGGACTGGCTTCAAGCAGCCTCTGCTAAAAACAGTCATCATGAGAGCTCAGGTAGCCAGAGGTAGATATAGGATAGGCAGGGCAAAACAGTCCCCCTAAAACATGTTTGGGGTATAACTGAATAATTCTCCTGGAACCTACAGCAAGTTCGGAGAGGACTCAGAAGCCCTTTTCTAAACTCAAAATGACTTTGGCAGACAATCTCTGGCAGGGGTTCTGAACTCAGAGAGGAAAGGAAATCAAAGATCACAGCTCCTTAACTGGGCTTTCACTATCTGGGCAAGAAAGCAATTTATAAACTTACCTGATACAATTTTGAATCAAGGCTAGACCTTAGGATATACTCTCAGCTATACTTGAACTCTTGTGAGCATATAGTTTTTGTTTTTTTTTTGAGTTGGAGTCTTACTCTGTTGCCCATACTGGAGTGCAGTGGCCGCTCCTGGCCACTGCAGCCTCGACCTCCTGGGCTCCAGCGATCCTTCCGCCTCAGCCTTCCGAGTAGCCAGAATTACAGGCGCACGCTACCACGCCCGGTTAATTTTTTTATTTTATTGTAGAGATGAGGTCTCGCCTGCCCAAACAGGTCTCGAACCCATGGGCTCAGGCAATCCACTCACCTCAGCCTCCCAAAGGCATGGGATTACAGGTTGAGCCACTGAACCCGGCTTATAGTTTTCTTAAAGCTTAACTTCTGGTGACACATCACCTCACTCCTGGGGCTATATCACCTGAAAGCTATCTATAAATCCCTAAAACAAGGATCCTTGCATTCTGTGGGTCTCCTATGGGATTCTAGGGTCCAAGGACCCTCTGAAATAATGTGAAAATTTGCGTAACGTGCAGTTTTGTGGGTAGAGGGTTCACTGCTTTAACCAGATTATCAAAAAAGACTGTGGTCTCAAAAGGTATACAACACTGCAATGAGATACTCAATGGGTTTAACCTGAAGTTCCCAACCTCACCTTGCCAGAGCCCTGTCACATATGCCAGCCAAACTGAAGTGAGACAAATAGTCAAGATGATGCAGCTTCTTGATACAGATTTTTAAATTTCCTCTTACTAGTGGAGGGCCAAAAGCAAGATCCATCAGAAATTGTAAAGTTTCTCTGACTATATGCTGGTAATATGGAACTGAAATAGACGTTCTTCCTTATCACCTTTGTTGGGAAGACAGCAAGGCAATGTAGCCAGTGGTTTTTACCAGCTTCCTTGTTGGTCTAGAGTAGACCTATTGAACTAAACAAATAAAATAAGCAAATCCTTCCCTTTCCAATTCTACTCGGAAGAGACAAAAAGGAGAAGCAAGAGTCTTAGCAATACATACCTATGTCACTTATTCTTCTCACTGCAAATATGAATTTTCCTTGAAGAGCTGTACAGTTGGGTCAGTCGGTTCAGATCTTTTATTCAAATTAACCTAAAAGCTAAACAGATTGAATAGTGATGTTTTAAAGAATGAGAAAGAAGTAAATTAATTGAAACATAAGCATAGTCTAAGTTTCTCTGCATTTAAAGTCTTTAGGGAAAAGACAATTTCTTTAATTAACATGTATGCCACACTCTTGGACGTTTGACCATTTTAACAAGCCTGCTCGGAGAAGCCTTTGTGAATCCACTAAGACTGACAGGCTCTGTCTGGTTTCCAGGACAAGTTTTCTGCTGTGTTCATAATTCTGGTTAAAGCAAACTCATACCACTTTTACCCTTTATCTCATAACATAATCTTCAGAAACACCTAACAGGACAGGTATCATCTCTGTGTGACCAATAAAATAATTTAGCAAGACTTTAGATCAAGACAGCATAGTCAGTTAACTCATTCATTATCTTTCAAACATATAGCAACGACAGAAAAATATGAGCTGAGAAAAGTAAAAGGACACAGATGGGCTCAAAAACAAGGTACCAGAAACAGAACAGGCCAAAAACAATGGGTGGGGGACTGTACTGTCTGCCAGGTTTAGGTTCAGACTGGGGCCAAAGGCTGGTTGCTGAGAGGCACCAGAAGCTTAAAGTAATCGCTATGAGACAAGGAACCAGAGCTAAGCCTACTGTGAGAAACTACTAAAAGATCTATGGTTTCCAAAGAAGCAGAAGCAGCAAAAAAGAGAACATGGGTGAAACAGCCAATGTTTATGCAGTGCTATCTATGAGGTAAGTTCTCTTCTTAAAAATGAACACATACTAGCTCATTTAGTCCTTCCTGTACCCTAGGACATAGATGCTATTATTGCTCCATTTTACAGAGAAGGAAACTGAGGCATAGAAAGTTTAAGTGACTTGTTCAAGGTCACACAGCGACTTGTTCAAGGTCACACAGCTGGTAGATAGAAAGGCCAGGATTCATATCTAGCCCCACAGATCCCCCCCCCTTTTTTTTTTTTGAGTGGGAATCTCACTCTGTCGCCCAGGTTGGAGCGCAGTGGTATGCTCACAGCCACCACAGCCTCGACCTGCTAGACTCAGGCGATCCTTCTGCCTCAGCCTTCCAAATAGCTGGAACCACAGGCATGCACCACCACACCTGGCTAATTATTTATTTATTTATTGTAGAGTTGAGGTCTCGCCAAGTTGCCCAGGCTGGTCTCGAACTCCTGAGCTCAGGCAATCCTCTCACCTCTGCCTCCCCCTCCCTGAGTGCTGGGATTATAGGTGTGAGCCACCATGCCTGGTCTAGACCCTCCTCTTAATCACCATGCGATGCTACTTGAAGGCAGGAAAAGAGACAGAAAGATAAACAAGCAAGAAAATGGATGGTGCGGGACACATACACAAGATACCAGAGGCTTGCCCAAAGTCATACAGCTGCAAAAAGTGGAGCTGGGATCTAAGCCCTTTTTTTTTCCTGATTCTACCACACCAAAATGATTTAAGAAAATGAAAGCCAGTTGAAGGAAAGAATCAATTAACCTTCAGAGTAGTCTTGCCCAATTGCAAATTTTCATGATCTCTTCCCACTCTGAGGCAAATTACTCACAGAGGACCAGGGTGAAGAGCAAAGTCTTCAGCCACGTCACAGGTCACCTGATCTTGCCAGGCGTGGCTGCCAAATGAAAAACCCGGCAAGGACCACATCAAAGATCCTAAACTGGCAGCCCGTGGATCAGGGCTGCATTCTTCTGGCATTTTCAAAACTGCATTTATGAGTTGCCAAGTTATAAACACCAAGATATTTCAGATAAAAATCTAGATATCTGGTTTCTCTTGAAAATAAAATCAAAAGATTTGGCAACACAAAGCCAGCATTCTCCATAGCAACAATGAATAGAGCGGAGCAGCGGCTGGCCCCTTCAGACAGAGCAGGCTCTCTCCTGGTTGCCACAGTCCCCACCGCTCCCCACTAGGGTCCTCAATATTGACCCCTGGCCTGCTTTAATCATTCATGGTACCTGTAAGCATCTGAATATGCAGCTCCTGGAGAAAACCAAGGTCCCTTCTAGCCCTGGATAAGTCTGTATAGACTAAATGTTCAAAAAATATACTATAGTAGATGTCTAAATTATAAAATCATTTATATATATTTTTTCAGCTGACCCAAAAATTATAGAAAGGCAGAGCAGCAAAGCTTATAGGATAACATGAGGTAGTACCTTTTATTTATTGGTATTTACATTGATGTTTATTTGTACTTTAACTCTGGCTTCAACAAAACATCCTTATTGAATATATATATATATATATATATATATATATATAGAGAGAGAGAGAGAGAGAGAGAGAGAGAGAAAGGTCCAGAAATGTGGCAGACTGCTGATTGCTTCCTAACAGTAAGTTCCTCCTTCATCCCTAGTAACAGAAACCTGGTCAGTGTACCCAGGTAGAAAAAAACTACATACCCCAGACTTCCTTAGCTAAGTGAGTCCATGTGACTAAATCCTAACCAGTACTGAAGGAGTTGATCTAATTTCTGGAAAAGCTCTGAAAGGGTAGGGAGTTAAACTTTCTTCTGTCCCTTTCCCCTCCTGCATCCCTCAAATGCAGAAAATATGGCTGCAACTCTCCAGAGTCATCTTGGGCCATGAAGTAACCTTGAGGTTGCTCTAGGAACCCCGTTAAGAGGACAGCAGAGTAGAGAGACAGAAGTCTGCTCCCTGACAACTAAATGGAGACACTATATTAGACCTAGACTGCCTATGTCAGGACTTCTTTTACATGAGAGAATAAACATGAGGCCACTGGGACTTTTAGACCCTTTTACTCTGCAATTTCTAAACACACAGGAGGAAATACTATATATCCAAATCTTTACGGATGCTAAAATCACTTGGTTATAAGAGTACTGGCAATTTCTTTCTTCTCTAGTTTCCAAAATTCATCATGACTATAAATATTTTTGTTATTAGATACAATCTTTAAAATAGCAACTAACAAAATCTGAGATTTTTTTTTTTTTTTTTGCGTTGAAGTCTCACTCTGTCGCCCAGGCTGGAGTGCAGTGGTATGCTCACGGCCACCCCAGCATCAAACTGCTGGGCTCCAGCGAGCCTTCCGCTTCAGCCTTTCAAGTAGCTGGAACTACAGGCGCATGCTACCATGCCCGGCTAATTTTTTGATTTACTGTAGAGATGAGGTCTCGCCAAGTTGCCTGGGCTGGTCTCAAACCCGCAGGCTCAGGCAATTCACTTGCCTCGGCCTCCCAAAGTGCTAGGATTACAGGCTAAGCCACTGGGCCCAGCCCTAAGAAGAAATTTTAAAACCATGGACAAGGAAAATGTATATGTCAACATATATAACAATTATGTATATGATTAGGCATAGAATGTATCTGAGCTTTCTAACTGACAGAGGAAAAAGGTAAACCCGGTCAGACCCAGGGTTCTCTAAAATGGAAAGAGAACTAACACATATTGTACACTTACCCCCAGAAACACAACAGATACTCAGTGGAAACAGGGCTTTTCTGACACAGAATTATTTTTAAAAACTGTGAGACTTTATATAAGGGGACTGTGAGTGATGTGATAGACAATGTCCTCCCACAACTCTTTTTTAAAATAGAAAATGCAATAGAGAATTAATTTTGTTAACTCTCAAAAAATGCCAAGGTTTTAAAATTCAATTCAGGGAAGGCAATGCTATGAGAGATTTATAATTATTGTGGTCCAAATTTCTAGCCTTGCTTCACAGCTTCATCCTGAAGTCCTGAGAAGCAGATTAGCTGGTCATGTCCCTAGGGACACCACCTTTGAGTTTTAGTGGGCTTAAGTGCCTCACTGCCGCCTGTGTACCTAGCATTGTACACTAGAATTCACATTTTAAGTGGGGAGAAAGAAATTTATGTTAAGGTTATGTGTACTTTAGAAACTTGGAGATAAGAATAATTAGTCCAGAAAAAAAGTGATCAGGGGAGAACTTATGAAACAGCTAGATTTAGAACCTGGCCTTGGTATATGAAGTACAGACAGTCATCCTTACCTGCAGATTCACCAAACCACGGATGGAAAAATGAAAAAAAAAAGACAACAATGAAAGCAACACAGTATAACAACTACTTACGTAGTGCTTATATTGTATTATAATTAATCCAGAGATGTTTTAAAGTATATGAGAGGATATGCCCAGGCTATGTGCAAACATTATGCCATTTTATATCAGGGACTTGAGCATCTGTGGATTTGGGTATCCTGGTGATCTTGGAACCAACCCCCCATGGATACAGAAGGATGACTGTATAGGATTTAGAAACATCTATGAGTATGAGAATGTGTGTATATGTGTATGCAGTGCATAAATACTGGTATTAAACCCATACTCAACAGGTAATTTTAGAACAAAACTCTTCAATTCATTTGAATTATCTTGCTGCATTTTATTTTATGGTGTTCTTTCTTCCCAAGTCTGATCTGCCACTAAATATTAATATTTATTCTAGACATAGCAGATTCAGATTTCATTGTATTACTTCATCCCCCTCCCCCTTTTCTAGGCAGGTGAAATTCAGTTAGTGAGCACCAGGGTGTCTACTAGATAGGGAAAAGAAGTTACATAGCAAGGCTGGAGAGTTGGGTATGTCAAGTTGGAAAGGCAGCATTTCCCCACCCTCGCTCCAATTCCACAATGGGACAGCCTTTCAGTGTACCTGTGGTAGTCCTTTCCCAGCTCACCCCACATCTCCTCTGCTGTTCTATAAATGGGATTTAGGTGCTGAAAAGGAGAGTCATAATTCCATTTGTAGTCTCTACATTAACAAAGGAGCCCAAGATGCTGCCAAATAGCCAACAAACAATAGCCCCTGGTCTTTAAGATGTGCCTGACTGGTATTTCCACCAGTGGTGAAGGTCTGGGCTGTGCCACCCACGCTTCTCTCTGCTCTCCCTAGCTAAAAGCATTATTTTCAGATGGAGGCGCAGATGAAGTGAGAAACAGGGCCACTACACTGGGAGAAGCTGCAGTCTGGGGGCTCTGCCCCTTCCTGGCTGTGACC